CATTTCGTTTTATTTTATAACAAATTGCTTTGCTGGACAGTGATTCATGCTTCCTCAGAAGGAAAAATAGCTTATAAATGAAAGGAATAAATCTTTATCGCTGACCATTTTTCAAACTTCCAAAAATAAGTTAACTGGAAAATGTACATATTTGAATGATACCCTCTGTAATCAGTTACTGATTTTATTTTAGACCTCTGCCCATAATGTTGCAAAGCAATTGTAGTAGCTGTAGCAAAATAATTTAATGCTATTGCTTCGCATGCCCTTATTTTAGACTGAAACCAGATGTTGTTTTTGCATGCAGTAATGGAGCTTCGTTTACAACGAACATATTGAAAAATGCCATCAGTTCTAGCTAAGCCACTATTTTGTAAACTTTGGCATAAATCGTGTGTGTGTGTGCTAAACAAAGTAGCTCCTGTATATTTCTGTTGCCTTAGAGACTGAAACATCTGTATCCTATCTGTGCAGGCAAGTGATGCAGACATGGTAAGATATGACTTCCTTGCATTCCTCTCTTCATCTTGTTGTCAATAGTACTGTTTTTGGGGGGCAATGTGTAGGGCTTCCTTTGCATTGTAGAGTAACCTGGTTGTCTAGCGTAACATAATCTGGGACAGCTTTTTATGAAGCTCTTCTAACTCCAAAGTCAGCATGCTGCCCTACGAAAAGATGCTCTCACACAAATAATTTTTCAAGATGAACTTGGAGGGACTTGAAATGATTGTTGTTCTGGTGATAATTGTGGCATTTGTGAAAGCCCTGGAACATATGGGACTGCTGGAAGATACAGGTAGGATGCTAAAGAAGAATTATTGGTGTGTGTTTTGTTTTGGGTTTTTTGGGGGGGGCAGTTTGCTGGAAAAGCTTTTTTCCAAAGGATAATCACTTTGTTTTTTTTGTTTGTTTTTTAACCTGCAATAAAGCTGGAAGGGAGAAAATTACAAGTGAGCTTCACGGTTGTTAAAAAACCATGTTAGAGATCCCTAGATATAAATATGTGTGTATTTGAATGTATGTTTGTTACTGACTACCTGTACAGTATATAGCTTTGTTTTCAACAAATGAGATTACTGTACTAAATTGTTTTTAATAACATTAACGGCATGTTATGCATAAATGGTAAAAATGATGCTTGTTACCCCTAATCTCTCTGTTCATAAACTTTGATACCCCAGTCTATTTCAAAGGCAACTACTGCAGGAAACCTTGTTTACCAAATACGTTTTCCTACCACAATAATATTCTAAGCTTTTTGCATTGATTTTTTTTCTTTTTTTTATATTGTTGTACTTTTTAGCAAATTAATATGTATGCAAAATCATTCCTGAGACTTGGGAGCCTGTAACAACAACCACCACAACAAAAAAACTTCACAGAAAAATGTTAACATCCAGTTCACAAAAATATCAATGTGAAGTTATGAAATTATACTTAGATCGTGCATGTTTAGAGAAACTCTTGACTATTGTTGCTTTTGATACTATTGTAGAGGAAAGTATACTTTACACTGACATAAAAGCAGAAATAGATGGCATAAAAATGAATGTATATTTTAAAAAATTAAACAGAACAGCAGTTTTAGAAGAGAAGTCAGTGTTGCTGTTATAGAAATAATGATTTATGTGAAATGTGCTTTTATTGTATATGCTTTTGTATGTACAGTAATACCGACATACAGTGTCTGTCTGTGTGTGTGTGTGTGTATAAACATGCATTTAATTTTTGTTCCAAAGTCCATAGCACATATTAGCCCCACACATACTAAAAAAAAAAGTATATGGAGCAGTTAATGATGGTTCCTATCACTATATATAGTCTTAGATTCTTTGAAAACAAAACTTCATTAAAGTTTATATGCTTCAATTAATATATAACTTGCCTGTTAATATGCATTATTCTTATAACAGTTTGTTTCATATGAATTTAAGTTTAAAGAAGAAAGTACATAATATTGAATATTGGACATATATTATAAACAACCAGATTTATTGTTAGGGTTATCATTTCTGCCTGTTAAGATTGCAAGGCAGGAAATGCATATAGAAAAATATTTTTGTTTTGCCTTCTATTGCTTTCAAGAGGCTGTAAACACACATCAGAAAAGGTTATAAATGCACTGTGAGGACAGTAACATTCATCTGCAGCTACACCAAGGTATTGTTTTGTTTTGTTTTTATTTTAAGGAATAAAAATTAAAGTCATTTAATATTCTGTCAAGTATAGAAATGGAAAAAAATGAGATACAAAAACAAAACAAATACTGAAAAATTTTAGGAAGGTTGCATAATTATACATTTTGTTTTTGTAGGATACCTATTGCATGCTTACTTTGTTTACATGTGATACTTCTGTACAAATACACATACATATAAGAAATGGCTGTCACATTATACCTGTTTTAAATTTGTTTCAAACAAAATATTCTTCAGTATATTTATTATTATTATTATTATTAATAATAATAATAATAATTATTATTATTATTATTATTAATTATTAATTAATTATTATTTACCTGGAATTATCTGAAAACATCTTCATTTCTTTGGTAATGCGTTCTCTGCTGTCTCAGGACATGGAATGTTTAGTTTTTGTCATAGTTAGGGTCCACCCCTTTCATGCAATCATAAAAAATGTAGAAATCATGCTATGTAGCTGGTCCAAATTTAAAGACACCCATCTTTTCGCTTCATTACCAACGTGTATATTCCCTGCCTACTTTTATATGGGGGAAAACTACACTTGATATGGAGGTTTCCACATATAGAGATGTTATTATGTAGATGTTCAGTTTTCAGTATTAAAAACCAACTGGAGAAGGCAGTTTTGTGGAGGCAAAAATACTGTCATAAGGAGTACATAAGGAGTTTTTTAGATAGCATAATGCACCCAGAATATTTAGCCCAGGCATGTCTTGCACCTGAGTTCGTTCATCAGCTATGCTAGGCATGGTATAAAGAGCAACTTCAGAGGACTGAGAAGGGAAGGTTATGCTTTGAAAGGATGGAAAGGTTACTAAACAATATAATACAAAACAAAACAATCTTGCAACAAGGGCTGTCCTACAGGGTACAAGAGAAACAGCATAAGACGGTTACTGTAATTGAGCAGACAACACCAAGAATACACACAACTAGGTTACTAAATGTTATTCCTTTTCTTGTGGCTGCAGAGATGTTTTAATGAATATTGTCTGAGTGTACCATGAAATATGTGGCTTTCAAGTTACTCATAGTTCTGAGTGGATTTTTACATTCTTAGTACTCTTTCCTTCTTGCACTGTTCACATTTCAGGAATTAAACAAGAGCCACAAGTTCATCTTGTAACCAAAGTAATCTTTGCGCAATCTCCTTGTAAAAATGTACAGATTTCAACCCTATTTTTCCCCTTTCTAGAAGAAAAATGTATACTGTATACTAGAATCAATGCAGTAATTCGATCCATTTTCTACTGATTCTTTTAGAAGGTCCTAATAAAACTTTGGACTCACTTTTTTGTTTTATAGACCTATAAAAATGGCTGGAAACGTATTTTCAAAATGTAAAAATATAAACAAACAGATATTCTGAATTATCTGTTCATTGATATCACTAAGATTAAAACAAGCAACAAATGATAGCTAGAAATTCTGTAGGGCAGCAAGATTGGGATGGTTGCATGAAGATTTTCTTTTTGAAGTTCAGCTGCTGGATTGTCCAAGGTTGTACAATGCTAATGGGACAATAATTATACCAGAGCAAAAAATGCTTCTAAATTCTGGCATTAATTCCTCTCCTGTAACTCTGGCACGCTTTCTCGAAGTTCACTGTGTTTTCAGGAGTGGATTTAGGGTGGCAGATTGGGGTGCAGCAGAAAACTAAAGTTAGGAATGCCTTGTGATATAAAAAGAGTTGTATTCAGTTGGTCCCTAATGTAAAAGTAGCTATAATTACCACAGCACATTTATAATATGCAATGAGAAGCTTTCAGTTTTGTTGCTTCGTTTTAAGAAGTTACTAGACAACCTGTGGTCCATTGGGTCATTCTTTCTGTATACATTATAGGCTTCTGCTGTTTACCCAGAAGTATTGTGAGAATGGGATGCTGGATTGGAGAATGGCACAAGGCACCTTGGTTAGAAGGTCTGGCAGGGGCAATTGAGGTTTTGTAGAATGCTGCTTGCCTGACAAGGCATGGTAGAGAGTTTTGGGTGGCATTTCTATCAATTGATTAGCTGATACAGTCTAACTATTTTAAATTACTTATTACTTTGTGAGACTGTTTATTCACTTATTGAGCTCAAGGCAAATTGTAGCCAACATATTTCAAATCCCAACTTTCACAATTAATTTATAAAGCATCTTTTTGCAATGTAGAATTTTGTCTTGAGTCATTATTCAGCATTTCATAATGCTTCATGTTTTACTTCACATGGGGCTTCCATAGGTCAGTGACTTTTTTTATTGAAAATAACCTTCAGTGATCTACTTCAGTTCTGTTTCTAAATGACAACTTTGTGCAGATGCTAGCACAAATATCTGATAAGTCAGATATTTTTCTTTCTTGTTTAGAAAATTCTGAACTATTAAATGAGGATCTCGACTGAATCCATGAAAGAATCCAATAAGGGATCATTTTCTGCATCTAGTCCTTCTTTTTTTAATATTTCTAATTTTCAATTGATGTGACTTTCATGGCATTATCCAGCAGGTCCTTGGCAGAAGACATTATTATTTTGTTCAGCTTATTGTTGCTTTCTGTATCACATCCATTGAGGAACATTTGAGTTACCTGCATAGATAGCTGGTCTTTTAATTTCCAAACAACGGGCTCTCACAGGAAGCCACGCTGTGTTTCAACATGGATGACCTAAAGGATATATTTTAGTTCTATATAATAAAAGATGAGAACTGTGAGATTTGCATGTGTTAGATATTTTACTCTCTTTGAGTTTTATATAATTTCTAACAAGCACCCACACATTTCCCACAAATGATACTTTTGCATCCAAATCTGCTTTTTAAAATTTTATTTCCTCTTCATTATGTATGTAAACATTTTCATACTGTTCTTCATTCTGTAAATAATGAGAATAATAAAACCTGATCAAATAGAATAAAATGTAGCACTTATCTAAAATATACGACCTCATAAGGCAATTGGAGATTAACATCTCTGAGCAAAAGTTTGATCTAGCAACAAAATTAACTTCAGAAAATTTTCAGAAGTCAAGAAGGATTTATCAAGAATAACACTTACTTCACTGAAAAGATCTAGTAGCTTCCTAACCAGGTTATGAGAATGTTGTGGACCTAATATACTGTATGATTTCATGTATTGATTTCAACAAACAAATCTGATTAACAAGCTAGTGAAGTATAAGCGGGATGTATAACAATTAAGTGGAAATTAAAATTTGTACTCAAAGAATGCCCATCAATAGCTTCTTATCCATTTGGACAGAGATATGGTATCACAAACTTCAGTCTTGGGCTCTCTATCAATTAACCTATTTTCTTAATAATATGAAAGCAGAATAAAAGGAAAAAAATTGCAGGTGACCCTAAATTAGATTCTATAATTCATAGAATGCCATCTTTCTAACCCCTTACTCCATGCAGGAATCTTTTTTTAAAATCTTCCTCAGTTACCTAGCCTTTACTCGAACACTTTCATGAAAGGAAGCCCATCAATTCTCTAGATAATTAATTCCACTGTCAAACTCCTCTTATTGTTAAGAAGGCCTTCTACTATTAAATCAGAAACTCGCTGTCTATAAAATAAACCCATTCTTCTTTGTCCTTTTCTCGAAGCAATAAAGAATAGGTCCTGATATTTTTTCTGTCCAACACCTTTTCAAATCTTTGAAGAATGCTACTATGTCTCTACCATCTCTGCTTACAGTTTTCTTTTGTTAAAGGTAAACTTTATCATTTCCCTTAATCTGTCCTTGTGTGCTATTCCTCTGCTCATCCTTCTTTTCGCTTGTTCCTCCAAATCATTAATAAAAATGTTGAAGAGTATAGCCCCCCAAATTAGCACCTCACTAATTAAAAACTGAAATAAGGTTGTGTTAACAGGACTTCTCGCTCATAAACAGTAGCATATCCATTTCTCCATCCATTGGCAAATGGCATGAGAATTTGTCCTTCAGTCCTCACTGGCTATCCTGAAAGGCTGGTGTGTAAATGAGAAAATAGCCTATAATGAGGGGGTGGTGACAGCAAGGACACTTAATTTTCCTTTTATTGTTCATCCCCATACACAAATTACCTCAGAATCTAAATGCCTAAAGGGAAGAATAGGTTTGTGGCCTTAATACAGACAGAATTAATACAAAATTCTGTCCCATAATCTGTGTTCCTTAACAGTACCGACTGTCACTCTTATCACCTAATGGGCTGGTATGAATGTGTGTGGAAGCAACAATTCGTTAAACTGAACTCCTGAAGCAAATAATTTAAAAAAACAGATCATTTATTTCATTTGCTTCTTATCCCAAAAATGAAGGCAGAAGTGGTGGCACAGCAAGACCACGCAAAACTTCAGTTTGGACATTTGATTTGGAAAAGAAATCTATTAAACTTCAGAATTAGAAGTTCCTTCAGAAGTCAGGTCAACAATTGGAATTGATTTGACTTTCCAAATCAAATTGCTCCAACTGAAGTATTTAATTCAAAACATCAAATCAATTGACTTTTCAAGTTGAATCAATATCGCAGAGTGAGCCAACTTGATTCAATCAAATCAGCCATTCAAATCAAATTGCAACCAATTGTACACAGTATGCAGCTGTCTTTTTTTAAGCTGTGGAGAAAAGTACTGAACTTGATTCTAGATTTCTTAATCTAGTTAGTTTCAGATTTTCTATTGCAATACTCATTGTGAATTGTCTCTTTTAAAAAAAGAAAGAAAGAAAGATTAATGGTGATAGTCATACATTGTGTGGACTTTCCACTTTTTTTTTGTACTTTGAGATCACACATATTTTCTAATATTAAGGACATCTATGATTTTTAAAAATGGTCTGTTGTTCCCTTAAGTATTTAGCATGTGATGGGCACTGAAAGAATCTGCTTCATTTTTATTGATGCAACACCACAGACTAACCACCAGCAAACTATTGAGCTAAATTCATCTATCTTGGAGAAGTGCCAGTTACTTAATTTTAATAAAAGTTAGATTTACATTATTCTAATCTACTGGAAGAATGAATAAGATGGAAATAGATTTTAAGAAGCATCTACTATCTTAGATGTCTGATCTCTTGATTTGCATCTGCCAGGCAGATAGTGGGTGGTGGAGGGAAATGACTAAATGAGCATTGCCACACTACAGCATAGACACTGTCTCTTTTGTATGTGCATTATGATATTGTATGTCTGTATGTAAGGAATACAGTTTAAATTGTGACATCATGATACTCTCTTCATCATTCTGCTGAAACTGTTGAATGCTGAGTAGGTTTGAGTATAATGAGTTTAGCATTGTTCATTCCTGTCAGCCTTCCTAGCTAAACCAGAGAGGTCTAGATGAACTAATTATACTTCTTTGCAAACTACATTAACAGAATTTGGCAAGTCTGAAAGTACAAACCTCCCACTTCAATTATATCTGCTTGACCCATTAAAGTGGGCGCTTCCTAAGTTTTTCTCTGACCATTAAGCCACTAGGGATTCTTCCCTCTCTTGCCTAAACATTCCTTGTTCCTCCTATGCTCAATAATAGTAACTGTGAGAGGGATCTTGAAGTCCAGTGGACAACCATTTAAATATGAGCCAGCAGTGTGTAGCAGCCAACACAGTTCTAGACTGCATAAACAGAGGGATAGAATCAAGATTACACGAAGTATTAATACCACTTAATAATGCCTTGGTAAGGCCACTCTTGGAATACTGCATTCAGTTTTGGTCGCCACAATGTAAAAAAGGTGTGGAGACTAAAGAAGACTGCAGAGAAGAGCAACAAAGATGATTAGGGGACTGGAGGCTAAAACGTATGAAGAACGGTTGCAGGAACTGGATATGTCTAGTTTAATGAAAACAAGGGCTAGGGGAGACATGACAGCAGTGTTTCAATATCTCAGGGGTTGCCACAAAGAAGAGGGAGTCAAACTATTCTCCAAAGCACCTGAGGCTAGGACAAGAAGCAATGGGTGGAAACTAATCAAGGACAAAAGCAACTTAGAACTAAGGAGAAATTTCCTGACAGTTAGAACAATTAATCAGTGGAACAACTTGCCTCCAGAAGTTGAATGTTCCAACACTGGAGGTTTTTAAGAAGATGTTGAATAACCATTTGTCTGAAGTGGTATAAGGTTTCCTGCCTAAAGTGGGGATTGGACTAAAGACCTCCAAGATCCCTTCCAACTCTGTTATTATTCTTATTCTATTATATTCCTCAAGGTCAGCCACACATTTCACTACAATTCCCATTTGCTTATTGAAGTATAGTAGCACTGAAAACTGCATTTCAGTTATAATAGGGCATAGAGAAGATCTGATGTCTTATCTGTCATTTTAACCTTTTTAACTGTTATTTTATAAAAAATACAGAAAGCTATATTTAATTAATATGGGGGGGTTAGGTGTCAGATTTGGTGATTTTAAAAGCCCCACTTCTCTGCCTACTTATCAATCATGACTCAAGCAAGTCATTTTGTCTCAGATTGACATATTTTACATGTAGAATGGAAGACCTATAAAGACTTGTAAAATGAGGGGTCCTTGGTGCCCGCTGAGCTTGCTTGTTTTTGCATATGTAGAAAAATACAGAAGAAATTATAAGAATTATCAAATGCAAAGATCTCTACTTATGACTTTTTAAAAATGTGGGTACAAACTTTTCCACCTGGAATTATGTTTTGTGTGCAGTGATTTTAGAAGGATACACTGCTGAAAAATATGTTTCTTTGTACCATGAATCAACCATCGCATTTTCCCCATTAATTCCAGAAGGCACATGCTTCATCACATAGACACTTTCTTTGGGGAAGGTCGTTAGACACAAGACCTTGTGGACAAAAAATGATTGATTCTATAGTGAAAAGAGATGGATGGCAGCCAAACGTTTTTGATTCAGTTTTCAGAATGTCAAACACAAAGTTTACATAAATGATAATGCAAACCTGAGTTCATTCAGATTCAAAGCCTGGGTACCTATTAGTAATAAGTGCCATGGATATGGATATTTGCAAATAAAACATTTGATTTTAATTGTGTTTTTTTAAAAAAAAAACACAGTGCTTTAAATGTTTAAAAAAACATTGCATTAAAGCAGGTACAGATATATAATAATGTATCTGTAAATAAGATAGCTCCTCCTCCTTTCCCATATTGGTTCTGCATTAAAAATAAAAAGTAACCTCCTTATCACCAAGCTTAGGATCAGGCAAAGAAGATTGAAATCATTCATAGTTCTTACTTATAATCAAGTTGACCGGATAAACAGAGTTCTTGGATTGTGGATTAAAAGTTGTAGAGTATGAAATTTGAACTGTAAGATACTTGAACATATCAGCATAAAATTATTTGGAAGTAGTCTGAATTTGGAGGGCTTTGAAGTTGTTTTGGAATGGAGAAACCGAATGATATCTTCCATTGGAATATAAACAAAATAGAAGCATTACAACATCATTTCACTAGAAAGTGGGCGAAAAGGAGCTCTAGTCCTGCCCATGCCTTGAAAGCTAGCTGGCTAACCTTGAGCCAGTCACTCTCTCTAAGCCCAATCCACTTCACAGGGTGGCGGTTATAGGAAAATAGGAGGAGGAAGTTGGGTTGGTTATGTTCACGGCCTTGAGTTATTTATGTAAATAAGAAAGGTGTGAGACAAATAAATAAAATAATGTGCAATTGATCCATTTTTGAACAAGCAACTCAACTCAAACCAAATGTTATTATTGTGGTCAAAGCTCAGAATGTCAAAATAAAACAGAATAAGATGAATAAAACTAGAAAATAAAATTAATAAAGTGGAATTAGGGGGTCTAGATTCATACTGATGGATTTGTCATATTTGCACAGTTGCTGCCATGTGCTCACTTGAGCAACAAAAAGATTGGCTCCTGTGTGGATAGAAGCATAGATGGGGTCCAGGGGTAAAATGCACTTACCTTCACTACCGGATCGCAAATGTGAGCATGCACCTCCTCCAGACATGCACAGAATCTTCTGCACATGCGCAGAGGGTCAAAATCAGGCGTGATTACATCAGGGCGGGTGGACGGAGCTTCCCGCCGTCGGCCCTATTGGATTGCGCAAACCAGATAGATCTGGCTGAATTTCATCACTGACGAGGTTTAAACAAAGAAGATGGAAATAATATATTTCTTGGAAGATGCTGCAAGAGTGGAAAATAGACACCTTACACAGATCCCTGTAAAATTACCTTGAAACAATATATGTTTCTATTTCCCAAAAGCCACATGGGCAGAGTACCTTAATGAATCTACCTTTGTAGGAATGCTGATGGAACATCATTGTGCCTAGCTCTCAAAAACTCCTTCCTAAAAAAGGCATTTTAACAGCTAATTGAAAAACGATGCAAAATATTTCTCTTTGCACAGATTTCCTAATACCTTACAAAAATTGGGGGGTTTGTTTTAATTTGAATTTTTCATGTATTGTTTACTACCTGATACACTGAAATGGCTCATAATTTTTTCCCTTTGTTTTGTTTGATATTATTTAGCATTAGTTGCATTGTTTTATTTATCTTTATAGTTTGTTCTGGGTTTTAGTTGCTGTATATTGTTCTGGTTTTATTTTCACATATAGTTTCTCCTTGGTTTTGAACTGGGTTAGTATTGAGAGTTACTTGCAAATAAATGAATAAAGATTTTGTCTGTTTTTAGATATGCCACTGTCTAAGATGGATACTGAATCCTGGTTTCATAACAAAGAGGAGGGAGAGAAATGTGAACGCAGACAATATAAGCTAGCGTGCGTGGAGGGGGAAAAAGTTTTACAATGAAGCTGTATGTGTCATTTAATAGTATACCTGGATACATATATTTTTCCAAACTAGTGATGGTAAAGTCGTCTTCCATAGGACCTGTTAAATCACAGGGTCTGATCCAGAGATGAAATCCAGCAGGTTCGTAAATTTTGAGTAATTCAGAGAACCAGAATATGCCACCTCTGGCTGGCCCCAGAGTGGGGTGGGAATGGAAATTTTGCAATATCCTTCCCCCCAGGAGTAGGGAGGGAATGGGGATTTTGCAGTATCCTTCCCCTGCCATGCCCACCAAGCCACACCACACCCACCAAGCCACACCCACAGAACCGGTAGTAAAAAAAAATTGGATTTCACCACTGGTCTGATCCACTGCTAAATGAAGGCTCAAATTAAAATAAGTACCGATGTGTCTATCCAGCCTGGGATAGACTGCATCTCCTACAGCCATTGGTTTTGCTGTCAATAAGGTCTTAACTTCAGAAAAGTTTTCTAACATACCATTAGAGTCTATGTTCATGTAACTTAAATTCATTATTCAGTATTCTGTATTAAGAGATGATAGAGAAGAGCTCCTTGCTATTTTCTGGGTAGTTTGCGTTCAGATACTGGAAAAGCTATTGTTTCCTTTTTAGTCAAGTTCTTTCAAGAATGAAGATATCTGCTTCCCTCTGTTTCATACATGTCATTGGCAATGTTACATGGGTTTTTGGCAGTGGTGGGTTGCTCCTGGTTTGGTCCGGTTTTTGCGAACTGGTCCATCCACCCACCTCAACGTTATCACTAATGATCTGCGCATGCGCAGAAGCTCCCATTGCAAACTGGTAGTAAAGGTAAGTGGAACCCACCCCCAGGTTTTGGTACTATTCCACAATGAGATTGGGGCATTTCTGCTCTCATTTTATCATCTCCACTCAGTAGTAGATGTGTTCCTGTTTCAGTGTGGCACACAAAAATGTGCAAACATTGAAACATAAAATGCAATAGTGACGTTCTGCATAGCTTCTGACTGATCTCTTCCCCACTGTTAGGAACTCTTGCTCCTGCTCACCCAGCAGATGGCTTTTATCCATCATTGAAGTTTGTTGATAGGCTCTTAAAAAAGAAAAGAGACTTAAGAACTTTGCAGATCCCCTGCACAAAGTCTATGCAGGGTCTTTCACAAATAATCAGACAACTATACACTATTCTATTGATTTCACTTTAAAGGCAGCTGGGATTGACCTGAGCTTTTTTGATTAATTGCAAATCCAGTGATTTAGATATTGCAATTTGCCCTTTCTACCTCTGGAATCCAATATATATCCCCCTTGAATTTTTCCTCTCCTCTCCTCCTCCACAACTAAGACTAAAGGAAGAGATGGATCAGATAAGCACACAAGGCGTATAGGGCATTCTAATATAGAAAATAACTTAATTCCACTTTAAAAGGCAATTAATTCAAACTCCTACACAAAGCCAGTGCAGCAGCTTGGGAGTTGACCAATGGAGAATAAAATAGAAAGTCTTCCCCGCTGATTTTGATATAACCTATGATTGTATTTGCCTTATTGACAGTATCATCTGCTTAGTCAGATTCAGCTTGTGATCAACTATACTTCATGCATTGTGGCGATGGCCTTGGTCATGCTTATTGATGACCTATGGCAGAGCCAGTATAGAGGTGGTTTGTACTCCCTGATCTCTCAGTGGCTTTTGGTACCATTTGATCTCTTTCTGACACAACTCCAAGAATTGAAAATTGGAGCCACCAATAATAGAGGTTCTCTTCCCTTCTTCATGGACAGTTCCAGTCAATATTGGATATCTGTGGACATATCATGAAGAGCCATCCAGAACATGTGGGCAATCTTCCAATCTCTCCTTATCCAGGTAGGTTTGAATGAACTTGCCTAGTCACCTGTTCCTTGGTTCTTTGCCGTGATCATTGGCTCAACTTTCACAGTTTACCGTAACTCTCCTGGAAGCTCAGCTAGCTTCTAGCTTGGGTAGCTTGAACATTTAAATAAATAAATATTAAATTCTTTAAATTTTCATATAAAATATTAAGTACAGAAAATGCTAGTAATATTATGGTTCATCACACAGTAAGCCAAATGCTCAGACTAGATTTGGCATTTTCATTCAGCTATTGAGTCCTTTCCAAGGACCTGGGATAGGCAGAAATGGATATTTGATAGAGATACAGGATGTAAGCTGTTCCCAGCAAAACTGCCTTTTGCAATTGACTGGTGGTGATTTTGTCAATGTCAATGGTGTTCAAGTGGTGCTCCAGTTGTTTTGGGATTGCACCCAAGGTGCCGATTACTATTGGTACTACTTTTGCTTTCTTCTGCCACAGTCATTCTATTTCTATTTGCAGGTCTTTGGAATTTGTTATCTTCTCCAGTTCTTTTTCTTCTATTCTGCTGTCTCCAGGTATTGCTACATCCACTACCCAGACTTTTTTTTTGCCTTTCTTATTGACTACAGTTAAGACTGAGGTGTTATATAGCAAGAACCTGTCTGTTTGAATTCTAAAGTCCTAGAGCACTTTAGCTTCTCCATTTTCTAGGATTTTTTTTTTTTACAGTCCCAGCAATTCTTGCTTCAAGAAAATGGTATTTCTTGCAGATCCTCCAACGTGCCATTGTTGCTACTTTGTCATCCTGTTGTTTGTAGGCAGTCTGTGTAATCTTCTTGCATCAGTTAACCAGGTGATCCATCAGCTTCTTTGCAGAAGCAGCATTTGCTATCTGTTGCTATCTTCTCAGTTCTGGCTTTGTATGCATTAATTCTGGCTAATGCAATATTATTATTATTATTATGGTCCATTGCATAATAATTCATTCAGACTGGATTTGGCATTTTTATCCATCTGTTGAATACTTCCCAAGGACCAGGGATAGGTACATGTTCTTGATTGATGGTGTTAAAGGTATTGTTGCAGGATGTTCCAAGTAAAGATGCCCTTTGCAATTTGACCAATTGTGATTTTGTCAGCCTTGATGGTATTCCAATAGTGCTCCATTTTGTTTTGGGATTACACCCAAGGCACCTATTACTATTGGCATTATTTTTGCTTTCTTTTGCCACAGTCTTTCTACTTCTATTTCATTATCATTATATCCTCATTCCTGTTCCTGCTATTGTTGTTATTAACATTTCAATGGGAAGAAAATGAGAGTTGTGAATCGGAATATTCTTTTCCTCTTGTGTTTGCAAAATCTAATGTAAAAGAAAAAAAAACTTGTAGCTTGTATGATTAAGATTTTGAAAGGGCTGGGTTTTTGTTTTGTTTTTGCCATCATTCATACACCATAGCTGTTTTGTTTACTTTATATCCTGAAAATAGGCATTTTGCTTTAGGGATAGTTTGTTTTTCCAACTATATCAAAGGGTAATTACCTTGTTCTTTTTTTTTATAATTAGAGAAGAACACTCTATTTCCAGGCTTGATCTTTTGCTATCATCCATCATTTAATTTGCTGGATGCTAGCAAGCCCAAAGGCACCACGAAAGCTGATGAATGCTTTTGATCCCCAGAGTTGATAGAAGAGCAACTGGTTTATATGACATAAGACTCCTGTTTAGAATAGGCTGACTCTTGGCTAGGAAAATCATAATCCCTTTATAAAAACAGGCTACACATCCAGGTAGCTTTTTCAATGGCAGAGTTTGTCTTCATTGGGTGAAAGTATAAAGATGTAAAACGTACTGTCTTTGAATACAAGTAGTCCTCAACTTACGACTACAATTTTAAAATAAAATTTTTATTGTTAAGTGAGACAATTATTAAGTGATTATGATTAACCTTTCTTGCCTCATTTGTTAAGTGAATCACTGCAGTTGATAAATTACTAATTTTTTAAATGAATCTGGCTTCCCCATTGACTTTGTTTGTCAGAAGGTCGCAAAGGGGGAATCTCATGACCTTGGGATAACAACTACAGTCATAAATATGAGCCATCTGACTTTTGATCACGTGATCATGGGGATGCTGGAAAGGTTGTAATTGTGAAAAACGGTCACTTTTTTCAGTGCCATTGTAACTTGGAATGGTGACTAAAGGAACTGTTGTAAGTGAAGGACTACTTGTACTCAATTCATAGATATCAACACATATTAATTGACCAAGTACCTCATCAGTGATATAATTAATTCAGTCTTTTCAAAACCGAGGTTGCATCTTAATCTGGGGCTTGTCACTGTTCTTGCAGAAGTTATCATATGAGACATCTCATAAGCTTACGAGATTTCAGCCATTAAATACACACACACAGATTTTAAATTTAAATTTGGAAGAGGAATGATGGTTGTATGGCATGCATTCAGTACATAATAATTATAAGACCAAAGTAATATTCTAAATTGGGGGTTTGAATCAGGCCTGGAATTGTTCAGACTCCTCTAGTCATTCTTTCCATCAGTTCAGCTAGCATAATACAATTTTTATATGATTTAATTCCTTTGAATTACATAATTATTTCTTTGGAATTGGATATTAGGGGGAAAAATGAGCTGCTAGTACCACTCCACCATACAGTAAATGTTTCTTAACTTTTAATCATTCACAAGTCAAAGACTGCTGGTTTTTGCCTGAAACTTGCCACAAATGCCATCCTAATTATGCTATTGTCCAATGTATCCATGTGCTCTATTCTTTTCCCAGAAATGCAATTCATGCCCTATTTCCTGTTTCATTTGATAGATGATATATATAGGGATAGATTAAAAACCTTGCTTCTGGCATCTATCCAACCATTTGGAAGGAAAAGCTTGGGTACCCAAATTACACCTTTTTTTCATAACATTATAGGCAGGTAAATGAGATGTTAATGCATAGTTTGTTCCTTTGTTTAGTGAGTGTGAAAATTTTACTTATACTTGTACATCATGGCAATGGAAATGAAGTTAAAGATTCCTATTCCAAGAAAATATTAAATTAGGAGGTATTTTCATTTGGGTTTGCATTTTTTCTTTTCCTTGCCTTTCCTTTTTTTCTTCAAAAAATACTGAGAAAAAAAATCCTTAGACTGAGATAATCTCATCTACTGGTTGAAAAACATCAAACATTAATTTGATACTGAAGTGCAGTCAAATATAATGATTGCTAGAATAAATCAATTTAGTCTAATTTTCTATTCTTCTGTAGTCTTAACGTTTTCTTACTTCTGGTGCAAATGTTCAAAGACAACAAGACTCATCATAGTCAAAGGATGGCAAAATCACTTTATGTATGTATGAATTTTTTGGAGGGAAAAAGATTCAGCTGCTAGTTTAACGTTTAACGCTAGAAGACCTCCAAGGTCCCATACAATTCTGTGATTCTGTTACTCTGTTATTCTGTTAAAAATATTTTCTCCCTCCCTCTTCCCCAATTTTTTTTGTCTAGCTATAGCAGTCCCTTCCATTCCCCCTCCTTAAATGATAATAAGATTATATTGATATAACTAGCAAATTGGCAAGCTCTGCTTCTTAAAGCAGATATGTTAATTTGCTTCCTGCCACTGCCTTGGAACAGATTAGTAATAATCTCTCTTCTCCCTCCTCATTTTACTTCTCAATTTTTTAAAGTGTCATGAATCTACTATTATAAGTAGTCCTCAACTTAGGACAGATGACTTCATGACCGTTCAAAATTACAACATTGAAAAAAGTGACGTATGACCATTTTTAACACTTAGAACCATTGCAACATCCTCATGGTCACATGTTCAAAATTCAGACGCTTGGCAACTGGCTTATATTTATGACTATTGCAGTGTCCCAGGATCATGTGGTCCCATTTTGCGACCTTCTGACGAGCAAAGTCAATGGGGAAACCAGATTCAGTTAACAAACCTGTTAGTAATTTAATAACTGCAGTGATTCACTTAAGAAATGTGGCTTAAAAAGTCATAAAATGAGGCAAAACTCACAACAAATTTCTCACATAGCAACATAAATTTGGGGCTCAATTATGGTTGTAAGTTGACGACTAGCTGTACTAGAACTGGTTTTTGGTATGTGGGTTGGTTATTTGTTTTTTGTTTTAATTTTTTAACCAGTTGTAAGTAACAGAAAATACAAATAGCCTATTGTGAATTAGAGAGTAGCCAGCTTTCAACTATGTACATGATCTGGGCCTAGACAATAGGACAGAATTACCTGCATACCTTGCTTCCATCATGAATTACACTGGAATTTGTGGGAGAGTCAGTTTCTTCTTCCTGGAGACCTTCTGCCAAAGTAAACAACAGATGTTAAGAACACCAATGCATGTTTCTGCTGCTGAGAATTAAGATCCTGCTCTCAATTTCTGAGCATTTTATTTCCACCTGCTTTCATTGCTAATGTTATTTTTGTGATCAGTAATGATTTGTCCAAATGCTTTACAATCCTTTATGGACATTAAGCAACATGAGTAAGGAGGAGAAGAAAATGAAGTTGTGGATTATTTGGAAATCCCAAAGATGACACACAGGAGATGTACCAGACATAATTAATTAGCCTCTGTTCCTGCATGTGAAATAGATTTTGGCTAGGAAAAATCACCGCACTATTAAGCAGTGACTGCTGAAAACCACACACACACCAATAACTTTCAAGTAGCAATACAACCCCAGAAAGTTTATTTCAGCCTGACTGCTTTTTGTGTACATAAAAAGGACACTCTTTTACCTTGCTGATTATGGTTATGGAGAATATCTTAGAACCAACAACTATCATGTGCTACAAGTATTAATTACAGTAACATAATTAAAAATATTACTCTTTTTGGCCTTTACTTTCTGTAGAAACACAGAAGTGTGATGGTAACTATCTATAATGGTGTAATGTTTTCCTGTCCTAGTCATAGTGCATATAAATGATTTCAAAGTCACCAAATTAAGTAGGATTTAGTTTCAAGTACTTTCTTCAGGATTCATTTTTTCACTTTTTTATTTGTTTGTTACCTCCTAGATTCTCAGATATTGATAATTCAAGTAGGCTAAAATCTGGCAATCCTGGACACTATGGATAAAGTGATATTAATACTTCATATTAAGTTGTACTATATATTATAAAGTTATTGGCGATAAGCATTTTAGTATATAATGAGATTAATTTAATCAGCAGATATTTATTTATGACACAATACAGATAAAATGTATTTCTCATACTGCAAACACAGTATGGAGATTGCCACTGGAGCAATCAGCCATTCGAATTAGACTTCTTCTTCTTCTTTTTTTTTTAATTTGATTTATATGCCACCCTTCTCCGGAGACTCAGGGCGGCTTACAATGCATTAAGCAATAGCCTTCATACTTTTGTATATTTATACAAAGTCAGCTTATTGCCCCCACAAACTGGGTCCTCAATTTACCTACCTTAGAAAGGATGGAAGGCTGAGTCAACCTTGAGCCTGGGGAGATTCGAACGCCATTCGAACTTCTTTCCATTGGTGTTTGTGACTCTTTCTGTGCCTTATAAATCATCTATATGTGAGCTGAGCATGTACAACTCCCTGGATTTAGTTCAATAAAAGATTAAAAATAAAACAAACCAAAATATGTTGCAATGTACTGCCAAACCTTACACAGACTTAAAACAAGTTTTATAGACCAATCACCAGAGGGAGGTAAAGATCCACTGTGTAAGCATCTGCGAATACAGAAAAAGTTTCTGGCGGGAACCTCACTGTTGATGGGTCAATTGTGTGATATCATTTGCATTTAAAAATGACTATTTCATAAGCTGAGGAATGTGCGTGTATATGTCTAGACTGCTTTAATGCTGGTAAAACTGATTTGGACCATTCAAGATTTATTTAAAAATATTCATCCCAATGCAGCTTTAGATCTTGGCAACTTTTCCTCATGTTCCTTTCTTTAGAATTTTAGACGTTCAGGTTCACATAAATTTAACATAAATTTCCTGATAGACAGATGAAACTATGAATCTAGAAAGTCACAAAAATCAGGCTCTTGTCTTTCATGGCATGAAAGGACACAGCATGTCCTTGCTTTATGCTACCTGGTGTTAATATCTAAGTCAGAAATAGGTGAGAAGAATGTAAGGGGACATCAGAAAAGTAATCCCCTCTATAATTCCAGTTATAGTGGTCACAGTATGATTCACAACATTTTTACATCATTCCTGTATAACAAATGATATAGCCTATGGTTGTATATAGCTTGTCACCTTGTTTTATTCAGGGCTCCTTTATATTTCTATTTTATATTTCTTTGGCAAGGATCCCAGCAATCACTGTAACAATAAAGGATACTTGATTTCGACTATCTCCCATCACTTTGATTCCTTATTAAAATTGGCATTTTCTTACAGTGGAACTAAAGCAGGATGTTGTTATGCAGAATGCTTTGGTTTAGTCACCACTTCATTAACTCTTTCCAGCAGGAAAATAATTCATATAAATATATATCATAAGGAAAACGGCTACCCAAATAATGTAAAGGTTTGTACGATGTGTATTAAATAAGAGAGGCCTCTACTCAAATGGGGGTTATCTTTCTATTATGGACATTTAGAATGGAATTCTAGGAAAAGAGTTATGAGATCAATTAAACATAATAGAAGAAATGACTTAAAGAGATACTAGCAATAAGCTTCGATGTTCAACGTTCTGTGTAAAGTTGAAATGTTTAATTTCTGATTAGCAGTTAGGCAAATGGAAAAGGAAGGGGGAATGCATCACTCCTGCCTTATACATTTTTCCCCTTTTTTAAAAATCTTTATTCTGCTGTAATTTTCTTTAAAAATTGTTACAAGTGTAAGCTTAAAATAATTTTTTAAAAAGACAATACCCCCCTTAATTTTAGCATTTTTTTCAAGAGCAGAAGTCTAAGTCAAGTGACTCCACAAGTATTTCATCTTTTTTATAATTTTCAACCCTTGCACAGGTTAATAACCAGAAGCTATAAAATGCATTCTAAAAATTAAAAAAAAAATCCTTCACACAAAATTTGATGAAATTGTTGGGTTATCAGTGCTCTCTTGGTTGTTTTCTTACTGTAATATCATCAGTGTTGGGAAGAGTGGTGTTAGCTGCCGTCATGGTATAAGTGTGGCTTCCTCCTTGAAGGTTCCTTGATTATTGGTATTGATCAGGTTATTGTTTCTTGATTGATGGTTTATCTGGTTCTGGATGTTGGCTGCTATAAGGATCTGTTCAAAACGATTTATTTCATTCCTAGGCTTTTGATTGCATTGTTTAAATGGTATGTAAATAGGATTTATCTCTTTGTATCTATGTGGCAATGAGTGCATCATTGGCAGACTTAAAAGAACAGGTTTGGGGAATACCTGTGGGATTGATAGGAGTTGAAAACAACTTGAGGCCCATAATCAGTCAATCAATCAATATATCTAATGATTACTGATTGCTAATTGCACAATAGTACTAGAATACTTATCCAATAGTACATGCTTTTACTCTTTGGCTATTACCGGTTTAATATAATTCTTAAATAATTAATGCACTTACTTTATTCCTTCAGTTTGATTCTTTCCGTATGCAACTTGAGCTATGGCAGAAGGAGGAAGGTCAAGAGAAGAGGTTTTGAGATGTCACAATCCTGCGGCCAAACCCACTCCATTCTGCAGCATTATTATGGGCAGATGGTTTCCTTGCCAATTGGTGTTGTTCAGAAAAAGGAGGCCAAGAAAGCCAAAAAAAATCCCAACCAATTATTTTACTTATCATGCACTGCACAGGCAAAATCAGGATGGTAGCATCTGGCCCTGAAACAGAACAGATGCAATAGGGGCAAGATAAGGACTGCCAATTCAACGAGAAATAGATTGCACTTCAAAAGTGAGAAAAGGCCAATTGACTAAAAACAAGTTATTAGACATGAAGACCTTTGTATCAATCTGTCTTTTACAAGCATTGAAATATTTTTAAAGAGCAGGGTCTTGTGAAAATCATTTGCACTCAGGAAGAAATGTTCCCAGATCTGATTGGGTAGGGATCTCAAAGTGCTTTTGCCAGTAACATAGCTTGATTCATCTACTTGAAACTCTGGCATTTCAGGTGCTATTAACACATTTTGGGGGATTTGTTCATCAACACTAGATATTTGACTGAGAATTTCAGTTACTTTCTTCCTTGTTTTCATTCAGATTTCTGATTCCATAAACTTTATAAATACACAATTAGGGGAAAAAGTGAAGACATTGCATATAAAAATATAGAAGTCTGAAATGAGGGATCAAAACCATAATTCTGATCATTCTTCATGCATTTTATCTACAAAACTAACCTTGTACAAAAAGTGATATAAAATTAAGAAGTTTTTTTTTTGTTTAAAGATTTATATGTCCATCTAACTTGCAGAATATGACTCCATACAACAATAAATACAAAGTCACAAAATCCAGACAACAACAGCAAAACACACCCACCATATACTCCACCACTATAACAAACTCACCTAACATTCTGATCCCAACATTTGGGGAAATAGCAAGGACTTAAAAGCCTTCCTGAAAACTAACAGAGTTGGGGCAGTTAAATCTTAGTGGGAAATTGTTTTATAGGGCAGAAACCACACCTAAAAAGATTCTCATGTCCCACACATTATCACATACCTGGTACAGCTTTGAACATATCTCATCTCGAAATCACTTTTATGTTGTTCCATGTCACCCTGTCACAAGTAAGAACACTGAAATCTCATGGAAACTCATGTGGGACTGTCGAATGTTGACATTGACGGCTCTTGTTACTATTTTAAAATTATTTTCATTTAGTTTTATGGAGTTATGAATGTTGTTTGGAGGGACAATGGACAACTTCATGGCCTGTTACTGATGTCTTTGTTAACTAACATGAAGTAATTACAATGCAAAATACTTTAATGAGTAAAACCCACTCATGAATACATTAGACATTTGACTTGACCTAACATGTATATGATTAAATGTACATGATGGAATGATGCTTGGAAAGATGGATCCATTCTCAGACCTTTTTAAAACTACAGCAATAACCATACTTGGCAGATTCTTTTTCTTTTCTGAGAAAGAGAGCCATTAAGGTCAAAGGTGTAGAAACTTAGATAATACAGTTAGACACTAAAGCACACAATTTATTTGTTTGTAATAAATAGCTTTTATTTCCTTGTTTAATTGTAAGAAACTCATATTCTCATTATACATTAATATGAATGTGGTATGCAAAGAAGAGGATAGTTTTAGGCAAACAGTAGGCATATTTATAATTCAGAGAACACAGATGCTTGTTATTGGCTCTACACTGCAGAACCTAATTGGTAAATGAGTTTTCTCATATTCATAATACAGCAAATTACTTGGTTGGACACCTCAAGGGAATGGTATTGTCGTATATAGTATCCAGTACTTTAATGTTTTAGATTTCACAAGGGAGGAGATGTACATAACTGTGTACAGGGAGAGAAAATTAAGAATTCTTAATAGTTTCCACTCTACCTTTCTGGAAAATGCTGCTGCTGAAGAGAGTTCTAGCATTTTTTTTGCTAAATTGTAGCAGAACGGATGGTAGCACCTGGCTAGCCTTCTCTAGCAAAGAATGGTTGGCACGTGGATAGGAGGCCACAAGGAAATCCTAGGGATATAAGCTAGAGATAGTAACTTTTTAAAAAAGATTCTAGAAGAAAAGAATGGCAGGGCTTCACCTGACAGACAAACCCAGGATCAATTTATGAGCTTGTTGGAAGATATGATTCACTCTTCTCCTAGAAAAAGGAAAAGAAACTAAAAAAAAAAATATTAAAAGAACAGGATAATTTCCCTAAAAGAAAATAGAAACAGAAACTCAGTCAGAAACTCAGGCAGAGCCCCCACCTTTGTCAATGGGCCATTAAGAAGCTGAAGCCACCCTATTTTCCACAACAAAGGAAGGACAAAATTACAGGAGCCTGCAACATCCAAACAGGTATGGGACACAGAAAAAAGCAAACACCCAAAAAGGAAAAGAAATCAAGCCAAAGTAATTAGAATTTTAAACACATGAGAAAAGGAGATATTCACTAAAACACAGCAAACTGATTAATTATAGGGAATGAACAACTACAAAGGGCTAGGAAAAACAGAGATTGGACCATAAAACAATTACTTATTTGCCAGATCCAGGACAGAAGAACCCAATCACAAAAAGCAGGATTTAAACACAATAAAACAATCACACATACAAATCAAAGGATTCACATGCCAAATCAAAAGAATTTCAAAAGACTTTAAAGGGTCACATAGAAAAATCAAAAGACATTTTAGGATATAAAAAAGGGTTTTTCTTACAGCTCAAACAGGATAGTCTGGGAACTCTGTGCTTGCATTGGTTTCTTGCCTGCTTTCCTATAAACAATAAACTAATTCTGCTCTCAAACAGCTGACCTCCAAACATTTCAAAGTAATCTCCCAGCTGGGAGTTTTGAATTTGAGAAGGGAAAGCTCTGCCTTCCAACAATCCTTAAAGGGAAAGGCTTCTTTTTTCTTCCAACAAGCTCAGAAGAATCCTAGAACTCCTGGTAAGTAGTTTTTATAAGATATAACAAAAGAATTATACAGCTACAGTCTTGCAAGGCAAACATATTTATAGATTTAAACCCTTTTGCATCCTATGTTAACAGACTTTTTGTAGAGCTGGCTTTGGGCTGTAGGAAGTTAGCACTCATCCCTCTCCTAGAAGAATGAAATATTTTAGGAAATATTTAAAAAAGGCAGAATATTATATTTCCCTGGATGAGAAATGGAGAAACATGTTTTAAAGACAAAGCAGCTTCCTGTCTCCCCCCCCCACCTTTCTTAATGGGCCATTAAGGCCTCAGCCAAGCTCATTCATTTCCCCCCAACTTTGTCAATGGGCCATCATCTGCAACACAATAGGACCCATCTAGCAACAGAAACTCACCACATGACAAGACTCAAGCAAGCTTGAGAGACAACCTACAAAGTTAGCTAAGACCCCTAGACAACCTGAGAGTCTGACAACCAATCAGGATATTCTTCCTGTGCTCCAGGAAGTTCAAAGCACAGAGAGTGCATAAAACCAAGGCACGCTCAGCATCTCACCCCTTTTCTGTTCAGGAACTGAAACCATGTGATCCTGTCCACCATTAAACCATCTTTCCAAGCAGTCTCCATGTTTCCAGTGTCTTTTTCCCCACTTGGAGCTAAACCCAGAAGGATATTTCTTCCTACAGGGCAAGGGAAAGTTCTGAGTTGCACCTGTCCCTTGTTTAGCAGATAGCCTGAACTTTATTATATTGTTGTTCTCTGACCATCTGAAAAGCAACTCATAAGCAATGGCAAACAAGTTCAATATTGCTGCTGTAACAATGACATGGATGTGTTGATGCAATTGCCAGAAGTCAAACTCATTGAGAAAGAGATTTAAAACAAAAAACAAAAAACAAACCACAGGTACAAAAATGATCTCCAGCTAGAGCATCAGATTAGAACTGGAGAGATCCAGGTACATAACGGGGCTATCGGTCATTGTCTCTCAGCTAGCCTACTTTGCAAGCTTGATGTATGTTAAAACTGGAAAGAAAGAGGCTACAGTCAGCTCTTCATAGAGAAAACCAGGTTATAAATGAAATATTATATTGCACACAAACCTTGGCCATATCTTTGAGGAGCAGCTGTTTCATGACAGTATTGAGCCAGGCTAAGATTCGATATTGGGATAAAACTCAAATATTAGAAATCCAAATCTTTGGTCAAGACAGAAGTGCCTCTCCCGTGCCAAGGTGCTGAAATGACAAACGGTATTTGACGTAGGTACAGAATTGTAGAAGGGCAAACTGACCCTAAACAGATACATTCTGTTGTTTAATGTTTATTGCATCCCAAATGTCATGCATATCCCTGGATAAGGGGTGCTGCTTCCTTATTGCCCTTGAGGCGTCTTCTAGCCTCTTATCTCCTTTTGTTATGTCTTGAGCTCCGGAGCTGAAAGCCTGAGCCTGTGGGAACCATGCTGTTATGTCTTTCCTAGAGATAGATTAAAGGGTAACTTCTACGTGTGAAATGTTGTACTCTTCGTAATAACTTTGTCTTTATACTGTATAAATATCTGGTTGAAATCATCCATCTTTGTTCAAACTTTTGGGGTCTTCAGACTGTTTGAACCTTTGCGCAAATAAAAACTCTTTCCTGCACTGAAGAGCTTGTCCTAGTCCGTCATTTTTCCTACAACAGCTGGCGACGCCGCCGGGACTGGGTACAAGGCGATATTTCGCTGAGGACCGTTTTGACCCCTCGGGTCCATCGGGAGGTCGCTCCTGAACATTCTCCAGGCGCCACAGAGATACATCTCTGGGAGACAGCCGCGATAACCCGGTGGGCCCGACGGTGCTCTGATCGAGTCCAAGAACCCTGCGGTACAGGAAAGGTGGTCTGAACAAATTCCTGGCCAGGAATCTACGGAGTGGGAACGTTTTAAGTAAGTATATTGTAAAAGAATTGTACCTGCTTCATTTGAAAGCAGAAGGAGGGAATTGATCACTCCCTCGGACTCGGGGTAGGCTACCCTAATGAAGTCCATGTCAGGTTGTGTGGGTGGTTAAGCCGTCGCATTTCTCATTAGTGGCTGTGAGTTTCCGGGGCTATGAGTCGACGGCAGTGTGGTAGAAGGGATGGGGTTCAGAGCGTGCCAAATACTCCGTTGGCATGCATGTTAAAAGGTTTTGACAAGTATTTTAGCAACCCTTCCTATCTGAAAGGATCAAAGGATCAATTAAAATTCTTATGTAAATATGTGTGGC